AAAAAAAAAAAAAATGACAAATACTGGTTGCTTCACATGATTCTGTGGTTTGTTTGGGTGGGTCTGGGCTGGCTTGGCTTGGCTGGGGCTGCATGATCTAGGGCAGCCTCACTTACATTTCTGGGACTTCAGCTGGGATAGCTGCCATGGTCAAGGCCTTCCTCTACGAGGCTTTCACTCTGAAGGAGGCTAGCTGGGACAAGGACGAAGGGTTCCCAGCAGCCAAAAAGGAAGGGCAAGCCTGTTTCAAATCTGTTTGCCATACATATGCAAATGTCTCATTGGCCAAAGCAAGTCACATGGCCAAGCCCAGATTCAAGGGGTGGAGAAATAGATTTCATCTTTTTTTTCTTTTTTTAAAAGATGACCGGTAAGGGGATCTTAACCCTTGACTTGGTGTTGTCAGCACCACGCTCTCCCAAGTTACCAAACCGGCCATTCCTATATAGGGATCTGAACCCATGGCCTTGGTGTTATCAGCACCAAACTCTCCCAAGTGAGCCACGGGCCGGCCCTAGATTTCATCTCTTGATGGAATCTTGGTGGAATCCCACCTGTAAAATCATGTTGCATAGGGGTGGGATGGGAGAGAAAATTTGTGGCCAATTTTTCAATTTGTCACATCTTTCTGCCTCATGAGAGTATTATAAAGGTGGAATGCGGGAAATAGAAGTGAAAGTGTTAGGAAAATTAGAAGTAATCTCTAGTTAGAAGGAGCAATTCATGCTTCTCACTTAGCCTACTATAGAGAAAAATGTTATTAGAGGAAAGCAGTCTTGAGCTATAAGCTCTGAGCATGCTTATAAATTAACATCTCTATCCTCGTGAAACCTGTTGTTTTCATGAGCAGAGCCCATTAGAGTTAAGCCTAAGGCTTTAGGAGGCTATTTTTGGAGCACATTTTACCAGCTTCTCAAATAAAATTGTGACTCCCTTTATGTTTTCAAGTTCGAAAAGATTCAGAAGCTGACTGGTGCCCCTCACACACCTGTCCCCACGCCAGACTTCCTGTTTGAAATCGAGTACTGCGACCCAGCCAACTCCAAATTTTATGAGACCAAAGGAGAACGAGACCTAATCTACGCCTTCCATGGTAGCCGCCTAGAAAACTTCCATTCCATCATCCACAATGGCCTGCACTGCCACCTGAACAAGGTGGGGCCTAAGGAGCACCGTACTGACATAGGAACAGTGAGGGGGTCATAACGCTGGGGAGTTTGCTGGTGGGGAGTGGATTGGGGGTGGGTAGGTTTACTAAGGCTTTACCACTCAAAGTGTTGTCTGCAGACTGACAGTAGCAGCATCACCTGGGAGCCTGTGAAAAATGCAGGATCCAGACCTTCTGAATCAGAACCTGCATTTTCACAAGATCTCCAGGATTCCTATGCTGATTACAGTATGAGAAGCGTTGATTTAAAGATGGTTTCCAACCTTGGCTGCATATTTAGAATCACTTGGAGAACTTTAAAAAGTCTCAATGCCTGGCTGTATCCCAGACCAATTAAATCAAAATCTCTGTGAGTGGGGCCCAGATATCAGTACGCTGTAAAAGCTCTCCAGGTGATTCTAATGTGTGGCCAACCCTAGCTACTCAGTGTGTTCCCTGGACCAGCAGCATCCACATTACCTGGTAGCTCCTGTGTAATCTCAGGCCCACCCCAGTCTACCTGATTAGAATCTACACTTTAACAAGATCCCCAGGTGATTCATATGCATGTTGAGGTTTGAGAAGCACTTCCCTAGGAGACACACCAATAGAGACACCCCTTGGAGACACTGAGGGATGGGCCAAGATGTACCAAGGAGAGGTCCTTTGCCCACTTCCTTGAGCTTCTTTCCTCCCATTTTTATGAGTCTGTCAACTGACCCTTCTCATCTGGCACTTACTTTACCCCTCAGTGAAGTGGAGAGGGAAGATTACAGACAGTTCCTTATGCTAAAAAGATTTAATTATTAGCTCTATTGCT